CCGAAATTCTCTACACAAAGTCACACATAGGTGCGGTGAGGGACCCGCCTGCTCTGTGTAAGGTGAGTCTATTAAGGCTTCGAGTCACCATGTCAGAAGCTGAGGATAACTGTGAAGCTGCTTGGGTCAGGTCATCTGGCTCACTGGACTCGGAGCCGGGAGGATGTGCTTGTCTCCCTGTTGTGAGGCATCCCAAGGAACACCCCCTTGGAATCTTGAGCCTTTGTCTCCCCAGGGAACGCTGCCCTGGGGAAGAAAGGGGCTTGGGCAGTCATGAGCCATGTGACCTGGGCAAGTCACTTTATCTACCCTCCCTTCTCCTGTCTTACCGTGGAAATGGACAGGGCCTGCCACGTCCAGTTTCCTGAGAATTAAACCCCGCTTGGAAACACTTGGTGCAGAGCCCTGTCCAGAGTGCACTGTCAGTAGTGGGTGCCTGTTGTCATGGTTTGTTATCACTGTCACCACCGTCACTGCCACTGGCTCATCTTCCTCGCAGTGGAAGTCAACATCCAGCTTCCTACCACGGAGCAGGTGAACTTCCATTCCGTGGCATGGATGACACTGTCTAACTGCGTGTCCTGAATCTCACCCTGAACCCACAGAATCCTAGAACCCTTCAGGGTAGGCAAGGTATAAGTTCATTACCACCTTCTCATAGCATTCATTCAGCTTGGTCCCCAAAATAGTGCTCTTCTCTGGGGATCTGAAATCCAAAATGTGTTTTCAGTGCTCAAGACTGGAGTAATTGAACAATGAAAAGTTTTTTCACACAATAACTGCCCATTAAAGTACAATAGCACTAAAGGCATGTAATAATAAATGAGAAATAGATAGGTATTAAAAGACCAGATGTATCTTTGGACTGATAATAGCTGTGAGGTATTAGTGGCTATTTATTATTCAGGTGTGGTATTGTCCCAACATATTTGAAGGGAGAAGGGCCAATACTGCCCAACCAATTTGCTGTAGCTCTGTGTGAGCGAAGCCAGATGAGTCCCTAGCACACTATTTGTCTCTTTTTTTCTTTTTAATTTTTATTTATCTATTTGAGAGGCAAAGAGGCAGAGAAAGACACAGACAGACAGAGCTTCATTCTACACGTTCACTTCCCAAAGGCATGTGATAGCCAGGGCTTAAGCCAGGAACCAGGAACTCAATCCAAGTCTCCCACATAGTGGGCTGGAACACAATTGCTTGAGAAGAAAGCTGGGGTTCAGAGGTGACCAGGTGCTCCATTGTAGGATGTACTTTTTTAACTGCTAGGCCAGGTGCCCACCCCCATCCATCTTTTCTGTCTTCTGTGGATTTCTGAAGGAGTTGATGCTGCCTCTAAGGTAGATCACAGCACATCAGAGCCATTCATGTCACTGCTCAGTTCAGTCTTTGTTTCATGGATGGGACACCACGTGGCAAGAAAAAACCACAGACAGGCATGAGCAGAGAATTTCTACAAATTATCTACGAAGAACTATTAAGGTCATCAGAACCAGGGAAGTCTGAGAAGCTGTCACAGCACAGAGGATCCTAAGGAGCATAAATGACAACATGATGGGGTACTCTGGAAAGGCTAAAGGACAGAAACAGGGCATCAGGTAAAAATTAAGGAAATATGAATAAATTCTGGATTTTAGATAAAATAGTGTATCAATGTTGGTTCACTACTTGGACAGGGGTTTGTTGTATTAATTAAGATAGTACTTGGGGGCTGGTGCCGCGGCTCAGTAGGCTATCCTCCGCCTTGTGGCACCGGCACACCAGGTTCTAGTCCCGGTTGGGGCACCGGATTCTGTCCCGGTTGCCCCTCTTCCAGGCCAGCTCTCTGCTGTGGCCCGGGAGTGCAGTGGAGGATGGCCCAAGTGCTTGGGCCCTGCACCCCATGGGAGACCAGGAAAAGCACCTGGCTCCTGCCATCGGATCAGCGCGGTGCGCCGGCCCTAACACCGCTGGCTGCAGCGGCCACTGGAGGGTGAACCAACGGCAAAGGGAAGTACTTGGAATATCTGCATCTTACACTGAGTCCTGACTCTGCCCTCATTTCCAGCTTCCCGTTAAAGCACACCCTTGGAGATAACCAGAGGTAACTTGGGTGACTGCATTCCTGCCACACACATGGAAGACCTAGACACCGTTCCTAGCTCTCAGTTTCAGACTAACCCTGCCTGGGATATGTTGGGCATTTGGGGAATAAACCAACAGATGAGCAATCTCTTTGTCTGTCTCTTTGTGTCTCTCAAATAAATAAGAAAATTAAATGAATAAATTCTCTTTTCATCCAGGCAGTTTGTCTGATATGAGGTAGGCATTCAGTTAATAAAAATTCTCTTCTTGTCCATGCACAATGTCTCATACATGACAGACATTAAATTAATATCTATTCTCTTTTCAGCCCTTTAACATTATTTCTAATGAAAGATTAGTGATACTCTGTTTTTCCTTCTTTCTATCATAAGAATTTGATCAACCATTACAAATACTTTTGGCCATGCTCAACATCAATTTTCCCATATTTATATAAGATAAATTCTCAAATATTTAATCCTCATTTGTTGTTAATTATCTGAACCATCTATACACGAAGCCAGAAGCTCTAAAGATAGAATTTTTTATAACTTTTATTTAATGAATATAAATTTCCAAAGTACAGCTTATGGATTACAATGGATTCCCCCACATAACGTCCCTCCCACCCGCAACCCTCCTCTTTCCCACTCCCTCTCCCCTTCCATTGATAGAATTTTAAAGATATAAAAGAACTTGGCTGACACAGCTTTTCTTTAATGCTTTGAAAAAAGGTAGAACTTTACATAGCCATATGTTTAAAAAAGGAAAATATTCTACATAAATGAGTTCATCTATCACATTTACCATTTATCTGTAGTAGGAAGATTATGGAGTAGGTAGATGATGGAGGGAAGCACACTTTTCTGATAATCCGTGCCTCCCCCTGGAGGGGTATGGGTGATTCAGGTGGAAGCTTACAAACTTACAAGCTTACAAGCTAATGAACTTTTTTTTTTTTATTTTTTTGACAGGCAGAGTGGACAGTGAGAGAGAGAGACAGAGAGACAGAGAGAAAGGTCTTCCTTTGCCGTTGGTTCACCCTCCAATGGCCGCCGCGGCCGGCGCGCTGCGGCCGGCGCACCGCGCTGATCCGATGGCAGGAGCCAGGATCCAGGTGCTTTTCCTGGTCTCCCATGGGGTGCAGGGCCCAAGCACCTGGGCCATCCTCCACTGCACTCCCGGGCCACAGCAGAGAGCTGGCCTGGAAGAGGGGCAACCAGGACAGAATCCGGCGCCCCAACCGGGACTAGAACCCGGTGTGCCGGCGCCGCTAGGCGGAGGATTAGCCTAGTGAGCCGCGGCGCCGGCCGCAAGTTAATGACCTTTTAAGAACTATTAGATGTGGGCTGGCGCCATGGCGCAGTAGATTAATCCTCCACCTGCAGCACCAGCATCCCATATGGCTGCCCCTCTTGTCCTCTTCTCATCCAGCTCTCTGCTGTGGCCTGGGAAAGCAGTGGAGCATGGCCCAGATCCTGCACCCATGTGGGAGACCAGGAAGAAGCACCTGGCTTCTGGCTTCAGATTGGTGCAGCTCCAACCACTGTGGTCATTTGGGAAGTGAACCAGTGGACAGAAGACCTCTCTCTGTCTCTCCCTCTCACTGTCTGTAATTCTAGCTCTCAAATAAATAAAATATTTTTAAAAATAAAAAAAATGAACTACTAGATGTGGATCCCATGCTTGACTGCAGAGGGAGAGGCAAACAATAGTGCCAGCAGTTAAGCAATTCTCAGTCTGGTCTAACAGAGCCCACTTGGCAAGATCTGATCCTAAGCTAGGGTCAGGAAATCACGCAGCCTGTGCAGTTCTGCTGAGTGTGAAGGCTGTCTGGAGGGAACGGAACCCATGTAGAAGGATGCAGGTCCCAAACGGCCACCGACTGCAAACTGATGCCAAGACTAGGTGTGTGAAGTCAATGCAAGGCCAGCAGATGCGGCAGCAGAGCCGAAGTGGGCAGAACTGCTCAGCTCGGGGGTCAAGAGCTGGGTTTCTGTGCAGCCCCCATGGTAGACAGAGTTTTGTGACTGCAGGTGGAGAACTGGGCTCATCGGAAGTGGGATTTGAAGACTCCTGATAAAGTTCAGGCCACATGTGATGAGTAATTGTTAGGGAACCATTCATGGAGAAAGTAATTGTAGCACTGTTTGAAACAAAGTAACTGTAGCGTCCTTTGAAAGAAAGTAACTGCGCAGTAGCCCACAGCTTGAAAGAAAAGTAGAGTAGTAGTAACCACCCTAGCTGGTAAAATTTGAAAACTGATGGCCTAACTAGCCGGCCTAACCACAAACTGTCGCTGCCATGATGACGGGACCCTGGGGGGTCAGAATGTGGGCGGGGCTAGCCTCTAGAAGCTGTATATAAGGGGACCCTCAGACACTGTAAACCAGAGGTTGCTCAGCCTCTCTCCCCGGTCTGTAGTGCCTAGTGCCTGCAGGAGTAGGCTTGAGCGATCTCTCCTCCTAGTTGCCTAGAGTATCAATAAAGTGTGTTTAGCTTGACCTTCCTCAGTCTCCTCTACTCTTCCTTCAGGGTAACCCGGCCAGTTCCAGAAGGGGGATATCCTGACAGTAATGAAATAAGGTAGTGGCTGAAAGAATAAAAGCAAAGCAAAATGAGTAGGCACTGATGAGCTGCGGAGTGTGCAGCCTTGGACAAATTCCAGGGTTCTGGCTCTGATCACTGATGCTGTTACAGTGGAATCATCAACACGGGAAAAGGAACAGGGATGGAGAGGATGGCCTCAAATAAGAAAACGCTGAGGTTAAAAATCCTACGGGATGCCCAAGCCACTAATGAACATAAGCCCAAGAATAAAGCAGTGCCCCCCCACTAGAAGGAGATAGCTACAGTACCAGACCCCATCAGGATGGGGTGGGGAGTGGGGAAGCTCTCGAGCAGCACCGCAATTGAGAAGCTTATTTCTCATGTGATTTTTTTCTTATAAAAATTGACTGAAATGAATTTTAATAAAATGCAAGCATACTTCAAAATTTTTGCAGAAAGTTTATTTAAAAGATAAGCTTGGGCACAAAAAATTGAAATGCATGCATACAAGGAGTCTTCAAGAAGTTCATGCAAAACACCTAATATGAAAAAACTACACATGGCTTCCAAAAGTTTTTGCAATAAAATAAACTTTTCATTTAATTCAATTTTCCATGAGATTCTTGAAGTACCATCATATTAGCTGTGAAAATGAACACAAAGTAGATTGAGAAAGCAATCTTAAGGAAAAGGCTAAGAAACAGGAATGTAGGGGTAGGAATCAGTTCACTTGGAAATTACAATAGGTGAAAAGTGGGAAAAAAAATCACTGCTTTGTGTCTTTGGCCTGATCTTTTGTCATGCATTTGATAAGGCACAGGACTGGTTTTCTGAGAATTTGCTTTGAACCACAGTGAAGCTCTGATGCAGAAACAAGACTGAGCAGGTGCCAGTAAGTCATGATTCTTCCTGCGTACCCTGGGCAGTCCTCTCCTTGGAAGCTGTCAGGTATTGCGCATAGACAGTAGACAAGGAGAAACAAGAAGTTTGTGTTCTAAAAGTCTCTGCCACATATGGAGTTGGGAGTAGTTTCTCAGGGTGAATCAACATTGATTACAAGCAGGAACACCACACCATACAACCCACTCTCAGTGACACAAAACTAAGAATACATCAGTACCATAAAGCATCATGCTGGCTTATATGCCAGATACCTTTAAAAAGTATGTATCTATCACTCATGTGTGTGTTAATGCATTTGTGTCTACGAGGATATTTTTTACTGTAAGTGGCCAAAACCCCAAAATAACAGTGCGTTTTTAAGATCAGAGTTCATTTATTTTGAGTTTTAAAGAAGGCTGGAGGGAAGCAGTCAGGTGTCGTGCCCTGTGGCTGCTGGGGCCCTCGTCCCATTCCTGGATTGACTCCATCATCCTCAACCTGTGATGTCCACTTCTATACCTCTGGGGATCCAATCTGCTCACACACATTCCAGCCAGATGGATGAGGGAATGTATCAGCAGTCTGAACTGGACAGGAGCCTTTCTCTTCCACCCTCTGGTCATGTCCTAGCCACATGGCCAGGACCAGCTGCAAGAGAGACTGGGAAACCCAGTCCTTCTAAATGGCCATGCACCAAAATAAAAATAAAAGATCTTATACCAGGGAGAAATGAGGATCATGCATACTAGGGGCATAACCAGTATCTACCATGCTATGTTCTTTGAGATTGAGATGGTCAGATTTGAAAAAGCATAGGGGTGTGTGTGTGTGTCTGTGCATGTGTCCATTCCATTAAAATATCACAGATTCAGCCCCTATAATGTGCAAGGCAATAAAGAAATAGCAATGAACAAAAACAAACAAACAAAAACCCTTTGTCCTCAAAAAGCTTAAATTCAAAGATTAGGCCTACTTTGGATTGGAACTGAGACCCAGTAAGCACCAACCATTTGCTTTTCAGATTGATCGATGTGCCTTGACTGGACAATCTCAGAACCAACCAGATCTTTCCCTATAACAAAAGTTTCATTAGCAGAAGAACAATACTGTTGCTAAAAGATGTGAAGACTAATCTCAGCACAGAATGCCCTCAAATCCTGCATCTGTTAAAACTTTTAGCAACAGAACAACGGGACAGCAGGTGTAAGGTTTGAGATTTTTCTTTGTTTCCTCTTACCATGAAGCTAGAATTAGCATGTACCTTGTGGCTCTCCTTGATGTTGTGTGCTGTGAAATGATAACATGGTGTGAATGGTCTCTGTGGACTGTCCCTGGAACACACAGTCGTCATTTTGTGCTGCTTATTAGCTCATGATGGGCAGGGCGTGATCTGATTCTGTGCCACACTAGAAAGAAGGAGGAGGGTTCACGCTCCAGAGAACATGTCAGGACCCCATATGTCCCTCTTGTATCTCTATTTACAAGTCCTTCAACTGTCCAGTCTTAGGAAACCTTGTACTGCACTGGCTATAGCTTTGTGAGCCAATTACGGACAATTATTTGAACTACAATTGTGTTACCTATAATAGAAAAGGGAAAATTAACATTACTTCCCTCACAGTACTGCTTTGAGAATTATTAAGGTCATAAACACACATATATGTGTGTGTGTGTATATATATACACACATACACATAATTTTTAATCTGTAAAACACTAATAAAATATCAGGAGTATATTAATATTATTAACAAAATGCAAATTCCTCAAGAAAGACTACTAAATAGCCTATAATATTTTATAATTTTGCTGTGTATTATGATTTATGTTATCTTTCAGAAAAGACCATCTTGAAGTTTCTTATTTGCAGTAGGCGCTTCTATAAGCTTAATTGACCTTTTCCCAAATCTTGACAATTACAATGAAATGAGATATGTCCTGTGAGGAGAACACACGGTGTACTTTACCGCCTTAATAAGACAAGCAGGAAACCCAATACCAGACAGAATGTCGTGAAGGCAATTACACTTGCGAGGATGGCAGTCCAACCTTCACTAAGCACACAGCATCCTTGGAACAAGCAGTGTTTTGATTTACCGTGAATCCATTGTTTTCACCGGTGAAAGAGCTAAGATTGTTTTTACTGGACAAATGTCAAATTTCACAAAAAATTATTCTGATTTAAGCTTTCCAAGGTCATCATGCTGGACTCATCCTTAACATTTTTGGAGATTTTGAAGCAATTTTGTGTTTTCATGGCTGGAGATGGATCCACCCACCACATGAAGGGTGAGATGGAGAAATGGAATGGGAAGGGTGATGGATGGGCATTGGGTAGAATGTCCAGAAGAGACTGGGAAAAAAACAAGGGGTAACCATACAAAGTTGTTCGGACTTGGAAAAACAATTATTCTAATCTGCCTTTACAAGAAACAGTACTGGCCATTACTGGTTGCTTGTTTTTGATGTTTTCTTTTAAAAGAATGCCATCATTATTGAGACCAAGAGAGCTCATGAACACCCATGTAAGATCTAAGAGTTGTTTTGAAAGAGAGAAGGAATTGGGGCCAACATTGTGGCAAAGCAGGTTAAGCCACCACCTGTGGTTCTGGCATCACATACGACTGCTGGCTTGAGTCCTGGCTGCCCCACTTTGAATCAGCTCCCTGCTAATGTGCCTGGAAAAGCAGTAGAAGATGGCCCAAGTGTCTAGGTCCCTGCTACCCATGTGGGAGACCAGGATGGAGTTCCAGGCTCCTGGCTTCAGCCTGGCCCACCCTTGGCTGTTGTGGCCATTTGAGGATGTACCAGCAGATGGAAGATCTCTTTCTCTCAGTCATTCTGCCTTTCAAATAAATTAAATAAAGATACACACACACACACACACATTTAGAAATGTCTGTCCTGAACAGGTGCTGGACAGGGATATACTGAGAACCTTTGACTCTAGAACCACAGGAAAAGTGTCCCACAGAGATAAATGAGATCTTGAGAGACAGCAGTCATGCATTCAGACATCCTGCAGGTGCCGCACAACTGTCTGAGAATGTGGAAGGGCGATCCTTCTGAACCACGGGTAGGAATCCCCCCACGAATGCCCACCTGTCTCCTGGTAGCCCAGCACTCTGGAGGGAGACCCTGATGGCTCCAGGACTGCTTGCAGCTTGGTGCTACGTGGCTCTCCTAAGGTGGGTCTGCTGGAAGAGCCCCTCTGTCTCTCCCTAGCTGTGATCCCACCCCTCCTGGCTCCAGGACCACCCTCCAAAGATATGGAGAAGACCTCATACCGGTGACTTCGACCCTGGAGCACAACTCAAGGGAACGAAGGCCTCCCACTAGAGCATCGGATTTCTGCCTCTGGTGGAGATGATTCTTGGATTGTAATGGTCTGAAGCTAAAGAGCTCCTGGTGCAGGACACATTGTTACCAATGAGTAAAATGATGCCCAGGGGAAAGTCAATTTAAAATGAATTGTCCTTGCTGTTGGATGTGCCTGAAAAAGGCAGTGGGAGGTGGGCGGGTAGAAGACTGCAGACGCTGAGCGTTCCAATGCTTTGTCAATGCCTTTCGTGTTAATTACAAAGGGAAATGAAAAACTGTCCTGGGTTTTCCTGCTAAGCCTCCAACAGAACTCTTCCCCTCCTGGACCATACGGCTCTTCTGTTGTCATCATCCAAGGTGTCTGCTGTGTTTCATTTTCCATAGCTATGAATTCCTCCAGTGAACCATGACCCCTGTTCACCATTTCCTGTCTCAGGAATGGAGCTCCGCCCACCCAAGAGTTATCACACACCTGGCACTGAGACATTCATCTTCTCTGTGTTTGTTGAAAAAGCGGAAGGAATTAAGACAAAGACAGCAGCTATTTGTGCAATTAAAAAAAAAAATGAATTCAATCTGATTTTTCATTACATGAAGCCAGACCTTGAAATTCACAACTACGTGTAGAATTAAGGTATCCCCACTAAACACTGCTATCGGTATTTTAAGATTTAAAAGTTTTTGTACCTTATTGATTCATATTGTGAGAAGGAGGAGCATATTTAAATGCAGAAAAGTAAGGAGGGGGCGAGGAAGGATAAAATGGCAGTGAAGTCTGGCCTTACGGGGATACCTGGGCTTTTAAAGATTTCTCCATGTGACTTTTTATCATTTTATCAAGTTATTGTCCAGCAGTGCACAAAGTGAGGACAACCCTCAAGTGTCGAGGGTGCTGAAGGCCACAGAGGCTTGGGGACTCCAGGGAGCAGGAAAGCCCGGGGAAGCCGCCTGCAGGTGCTTGGGGGCAAGGCCTGTTCTCCCCCTGCTCATCCGGACTGTGCTGCCTTAATGAAGAGCGACTTGTTTTGGCCTAAAGTATTGATTTTCCATCATCTATTTTTATCAAGCACCCTTTTGAAAATAATTGCTGCAGGCAACTGCCACAGAAGCAGCCCATGTGACTTAACAGCCAGGGCAATTTTTTTCTTTCACATTCAGCATAATAGGAGGACTTGTAGCCAATCGTTTTTTCTGAGTCTAACATTTCACTCCCATGGTAGCAAGCTTTAGATTAGCATTGCGCGCAATTGATAGGAAACGTAGGTGTCACCATTCATTTCAGGATCTTAACTCTTCTTTGTCTCTTGCTCCCTTCCTCCCCTATGGCAGTTCACCAGCAGGGGAGGCCCAGAGAGAAGCAGATAACCAACAGTTTGCCGGCTGAGGTGGAGGACGTGTGCTGCAGAAGGGAAGAGGTGGGACTCGGCCTTCCTCGGCTGACACTCCCTCTCACTGACAGACATCGACGGAGATCAGGCTTCATAGACCAGAGGGGCAGTGCCACGTGCTAGCACTCCACTGCTGTCTATTGTCTGGTGAATGCACACTGCACAGCGGAAGGAAATCATTCCCCAGTTGCTTTAGATCCACATACGCACGGTGCAAGAACAGGAAAACGGGTAACAAGATGAATATCATTTCTGATCTGCTAAGAGGGTGATTAAATTATACTATATAATGCCACAAGAAAGACAACATTTTAGACTGAATGTCAGGAAATGGTTCTCAATAATAGGAAATATTTGATTAATACGAAGGCTCTCAGGAGGATGACTAGAAAGTTGTATCCCTCAGAGAATTCCCAATTAGATCTAAGTCAGAAACACGGGCGCTGGGCTTTTGTTTGTGCCAGCACATCTCCTGGGCTTCCTTAGCCAGGCCATGCAGTATGTTGGTGAGGGCATTCTGTTTCCACTGTGCATGACACTGTGCAGTGAGCAGGTGCCTGATGGAAGTGTTCTTCCAATGCTAATGGCACCTGCCGTTTCTGATGTGCGGCCTGTGTGTCTGGCTCTTCTCACTTGGTATAAGTTTTGTGACGTCCATGCATGTTATGGCATGCATGAGTAACCTGGCTCTCTTTTATTATGGAAAATTATTCCAACACATGGGTCAACTACACTTCATTTATCCATTTCACCAGTTGATGGACTTTTCTACATTTTGCTTGTCGTAATATTCAACATTTTGTTTGTTGTGATATTCCTGTGGAAATTAACATGCAGGACTTTGTGTGGACATGTTTTACTGCTGTTTGATTGATAAGAACTGGGTCATGTGGTCATGCTTAACTGGGAATACAAACTGTTTCAAAAAGGGATAAATTCTTTTACACTTCCATGACCAATGTACAAGAGTTCAATGGCACTGATTAGATAATAATTTATTTTCATTTTGTAGGTGACAAAAATAAAGATTTAGAGAAGTGACTAACCCTTCCATTTTCTAATTGTGCAAATGGCAGAGTTAAAAATCACACTTAGATCTTTCTGATTCCAACTCTAAGATTTATATGTGATAAAAACCAATGTCTTCAAGATAACTGTTAACTATTCTCTTGATGACAAAATTAGTGTTTCAAATTATCTGATTATCCAGATAAATTCTTAACTCAGATATGTATAAAATTGTTTCCAGTCTATTTTCATTTACAGAAAGATGATGAGGGGCCAGAATTGTGGTGCAGTGGGTAAAGCTGCTGCTTGCAATGTCAGCATCCCATATGGTGCTTGTTTATGTAATGCCTGCTCCTCTCCTGAGCCAGCCCCCTGCTAATGGCCTGGGAAAGGCAGCAGAAGATGGCACAAGGGCTTGGGCCTCTGCCACCCACGTGGGAGACCCGGATGAAACACCTGGCTCTTAGCTTCAGGCTGTTGCATGCACCTGGGGAGTGAACCAATGGATGGAAGATCTGTTTCTCCTCTCTCTGTGTAACTATTTCTAAGTAAATAAAATTATTTTGAAAAGATAAGTGTTTTTTCACTTTATTGACTCTAATGGTCATATTAAATTATACATATTTATAGAGTAGGAATGTGATGGTTCTACCTATGTATGCATTGTGTAATGTTCAAATCAGGATAAACGTGGTTGTAGCCTCATTTACCATTTCTTTGTGATGGAAATATTTAAAATACACTCTTCTAGTTTTTCCTTAGAATACACAGTGCATTATCATGATCTATAATCACGCTACTGTGCACTACACCCCCAGAACTCCTTTCTCCTATCTGCATGTGACTTAGTACCCATTGCTAACCCTTTTCCCATTCCTCAACCACTACTCTCCCCAGCTTTTTGTGATCTCCATTCTACTCTCAATTCCGAGAGTGTAACTTCTTCAGATACCACATATGAGTGAGAATGTGTGATGCTGGTCTTTCTGTACCTGGCTTATTTCACTTCACTTAATGTCCTCCAGGTCCATCCATGAAAATTAAGGACAGGAGGTAAAAGGAAAAACATGGGTGGAAAGAACCCATGTAATGAAGGCAAGTCAGATGCTTCTTCCCCAGAGCTGCTGGGTCTATACTCTTGCTGAGCCCTCTACTCAAATTGTCACCCTCTCACCTCCTCCTTGCATTTCAGGAACTCAGGTTTGTCCCCCAGGACTTACCCCATGAGCAAGAGGATGGCAGACTAACAAATCGCCTATCCACTGTTGAGCTGAGCAGGCTTTGAGCTCTCCTGGAGATGTGCTGTGACCTAAGAGCCAGTGAAAACATACTCTATTCTCTACCTTGTACCAGCCCTCCTAAAATGACTGCCCCATAGTGGTCATAGCCCAGTGCCATCTCACCCCACAGCTGCATGCCTGGCCACAGCAACACCATGGCAGGATCCAGAACACTCTCGAAGTGCTGCTACTGCTGTAATTCTGTGTATTCCAAGATGGACACAAGATTGAGCACTTAGGTGACCAAGCGTAGGTTTTTGTTCATTGCAAACAGTCATGTGGAAAGTTAACAGAGTGAGAGAGAGATCGTGAGACTGACCCTTCCAAGGGGACCATTCTTCATTGTTATGGTTCACGTGGCTTATTTAGAATCAGCCTTACCTTACCAAATAGACTCACATTTCTCCCAACTGTCCTGATACTACCCCACCAAATCCCCCTTTAGCAAATCTACTGAAGAGATCAACTGATATATCAACTTTGCAATGGGTTCACATGAACTCAAATGGGAGTTTTACTTCATTTTTTAAAAGATTTATTTATCTGAAAGAGTTGGGGGTGGGGAACAGAGAGAAAGAGATCCTCCATCTACTACTTCACTCCCCAAATGGCCCCAACAGCCAGGGATGGGCCAGGCCAAAGCCAGAAGCCAGAAGCTTCTTCCTGGTCTCCCACATGGGTGCAGGAGCCCAAGGACTTGGGCCATCCTCCCCTGCTTTCTCAGGCACGTTAGTGGGGAGCTGGATCAGTAGCAGAGCCGTCAGGACTCCAATCAGCACCCATGAGATGCCATGCTGCAGGCTGTGCTCTTGCCTACTGTGCCACAGTGCTGGCCCTGGAGTTTCACTTTATATATGACATCAAATACGTAAAATTGTCACTTACGAGGGGAGAACAGGCAAACAGCAGTCACTTTGTATGATCTGACCTAAACACTGATCCTATCACCCCAACCCACACGTAATGCTGGGTCTAACACACTCACTACCCATGACTGTAACATGCTGTGCTGATCTGGGTAACATAACAAAACACCTAAAATGGGAATTATGACAAGTCTTATTCCAAAAAGCCAGAACACTTGGTACCTCAGATTAATCCATGCATTGAATTATTGAATCTATAGGTTACACAGCATTGCATACAGGGTCTCCACAAGATTTGCATGGCTGTAAGCAAGTTTAAAAGAATCTGCATGTGCAACTACATAGAGTGGCAGAATCAGACAGATTTTCTAACAAGAATGTGGATCATTTACTTAAACTCTGACTCACAGCTGAACAAATCCTTTTCAGCAAGTTTATTAAAAATATAGATTTGTTTTCTTTGAATCCCATGGAACTTTATCAAAAACATCAGATACCCTCAAGGAAAACCATGTGTGACGCAGAGGAGCGGAAAGGAGAGAGAATGACTCGCAGAAACATCTCCCACTCCCGTCTCTGCTCCTCAGAGGTTTAAAAAGAAAGAAAATGATGCTAAATAAACCAAGTGAACAGCCAGGAAGAAACCAGAGAAGGGAGCTGCAGATCCCCTTCACGTCTTTCTGCCAGTTTCCAAATTCCACTGGCGCGACGACGTGTCGCTGTCGAAGGCAGCTTCCTGCAGCCCTGCTGACTCCAGAACTGCTCCAACAGTTTGTGCCGCGGCTCTTTCCAAAGCAAGCAGCTCATGACGCACATTCTTGGGAGAATTTCAGGGAAGTCTTTTCGGTCACCTACATTTTATTTGTACAGTGAATACCTACAACAGGTGCCTTAAAAGTTCTCATTTTGTTTTTTAAAAATGTATGTGGTCTCTTGTTAAGAATTAAGCAATAAAAAGATACTTTTGTTAGAAAAGAATCTCAAAACAAAGATGCAGGTATAATTCTATAATCACCATGCCACTGTTTATTTTCTTCATGGGTTTGAAGCTGGTGAAAATATTTATGTGAATAAAAATGATTCCTGTGGGAAAAAAGTTTTGAATTAGTACTCATCAAAATTAGCATAACTTTTAAAAGTTCATTTGAATTTGACTTTTATATAAAATATTGAATTAATTAAGGATAATAAATGGAATAAGAAGTATTAAAACATTTAAGAGGTTTTATCTGTGGTAGTTTTATAGGAAAACGTATTGAATGAATGTGGTTTTTTCCTTCTATGTTCAAAAGTTATTGAATAATTTTTAAATTAAAAGAAACTCTGTGGGTATCATTTGGATGTCCAAGTTCTTCCCTTTTCAAAGCCCTCCTTCATAAGAAACAACACTGGTATAGAAATAGAGCCAAAAGCTCAATTTGGAAGAGAATGATATGAAAGAGGACTGGAAGAAGTTCAAGTCTGAAAACCTCCAGAGGAAGATCAGGAATTGAATGTAGCAGAATTCGAAGATGATGCCGTGAGTCTTGCTTATGCCTAGACTTGTATTAGCTTCTCTTCCAAAGGTTATACCAGGACTCCCCAGAGCCTGAAAAATGTCAAAAATCACCAGTGCACTTACTGCCACTACTACTGTCAGCAGCAGCAACCACCCAGAATGATAATCCATAAAGGGCATCACTTCCTCATTAAGTAAAGAAGTAAGAATATGTGTACACATACACACAAACATACACAGAAACCTATCACTTACGTCTACATATAAATGCACAAGCATGTTTAAACACAGGATCTTCCCCATACCTTGAGTGTGTTAGAACCAGCCACTAACTTCATGGAAGTCTTATCTAGATGCAAAAAAACATACCAAACTCTGGAAGAGACACCATATGACTCTTCCACCTAAGGAAACGCAACTTCAGTCCACTTACAGAGGAACCTAGCTGTGCATATTCTATGTATAAACATTCTGTAATCTGCCTATGGTTCTTAAAGTGGAGTGAGTTTAGGAAACAGCTACTCTGGAAAATAATCATTGCAAATAGGCAATATGTAATAAAATGTAAGCCTAGTTGCCTGCAAATGCAGAACTGATGGGACTCAATGCTGCTTCCCACATCTCCATCAGGAGCCCAAGCACACATTCTCAAGAAACACAGCTGGCTCCAATCCAACTTGTGGTTCCATATACCAGTAAGTCTCCAGAGATGTCAAGAAGAGAGGATGCGCTTGTGAGCTCATGCAGAAGTGTCCCCTTCCCCGCACAGAGGCCTGTTCCACAGAGGTGGACGCTGCAGTGGGTACCTGTGGGTGATGGCTGGAAGGCAGAGGGCAGCGACTCCCACCCCGTTCTTGAAAGGTCCACCTCCATGGACCTTGCTACTCAAGAAACATACTGAAATCCACTTTCTGGGCAACTGGCCCCAGAAGGCAAATACATTGGCTGGAATGTCATGTAGGGAATGGTACATCACAACATGATAGTCTGCCTTTAAGATCATCTAAACACTGTCAACTTGACTGTCTCATAGAGACATACACTTGAGTCAGAATGCATTGATTTTTTTTAATAAAATAGTGTGGTCAATACTTCTAATGATAAATTTACAGATAAACATTTTCCTTACCAAGCAGGCTCTTGGGATGCTGTGATAAAGCTGTCTTGTGCTTGACCAAACCTTCACAAGTTTTTGAACTTCGGAAGCTGAAAGCCAACTCCTAGACAAAGGGTCACATGCAACCGGAAGCTGCTGCCACAGCAGATGGCTGAGGGAATAGTGGGCAGACCTGGTGATGGCAGAAAACTGAGATTAGAAGGTACCTGTCTGGCTAGTGACCATGTGGGAATGTGAGGCCTCTGTGGTCAGACCTTCTGATACTCAAAAAAAGATCAATATCCACATTTTTGCGGGAATACACCTGATATCTAAACATTAATACAAACGTTCTGCAGTAGCCCAGTGGGGTAAGTGAACCACATGTGGATGAAGGACCTGGCCCATGGACACTTGGGAGTTTACTTCTGCACCAGCTTATTCTAAAAGGAAGCAGCACTGTTGGGAGCCCAGGAAATCTTACTCACTTCTCACTATCGTGTCTCTACTCTGAAAATGACTAATAAGAGGCTCATGAAGTTCAGCAGAATTGCAAGGCTCAGTTAGTTTGTATCTTTCACCTTAGACAAGCTAGCCATAGGTACCAAAAGAAATACTCATAGTAACAGTTAGAAATAATACTTTCTGCACACACAGGCATCTTATAATTATATATTCACACACAATCCTGGGGAGTCTGTTTACCCTAAGGAATACAAATCATCCTTTCCTTTTTTGCCATTTTTGGAAGAAGAATCCTAATGCACAAAAATCTGCGTAATTGCACAAACATAAAACTCTCCAGGGCAACCAGATGTAGTACTTCTAGACCACCGGTAAGGTTGGATTTCTCTAACACAGAGGAAGACGGATGAATTCAGCTCCTTCAACACATCAGATGGGTTTTCAAGAGAAAAGCCTACAAAAATACTTCTGTGGTGCTCTCAGTTTTCATGGCTTCCTGGAGCTGGGGAACTTGCCGTTGATCCTGTTGATTGACACACAGATCTGTGTCCTCGCTGATCTGCTTGACATGGAATAATAGCTGTGCCTAGACCAATCACTGCATCACCCGATAGCAAAGCATTATCTCTTTTTTGTTATACAGATATAAAATATAAAGGAAAATCAACAAAATCTTATCTTCCTGACCAAAGTCACAAAAGGAAGCAAAATAGAGAGAATCCTACTGGACTCTTAATTCAATGATGAATCCCAGAAGCATTGCCTCCACTCTATCTTGCTATGGAGGAAAGTAGGCTCAAGGGGGCGTTGATAAGTTGGGAGAAACAAGTCAGACTTGTCAAGTGCTTTCAGTCCAGCTTCTTGGTCTACAGAGTGGGGAGTGGAGAAGGCGGCAGAGGGAGGGGTAGGCTCATAATTTATCTCAGTCCCAACTTCTTCCTAAATGCCACAGTTGAAAAGTGAATGACCTATGGATTGCGTGTTAGGCTGTATTTCTCTGTCTTCTCCCTCACTATTACTATTCTTAAGCAGTCCACATGGCCATGCTCTTTCTACACCTGCCATAGACTGAAGAATGTAGAAAAGGATTCATACTGAAGTCTTGGTAAGTTAGTGGACTAATCACCCCCAAATTGTATTTTAAGAATGTGAAGTGAGGAACTACAAAATTTAGTGAAATTACTGCCTAATAGTATTAGTCTTATCTCTGTCACTACTGTTCTTCTATTATTTTTAGATGAGAAACGGGGAAAGAGAGAGAACTCCAGTGAGCTTGGCAGTAACTGTAATTATCATGGTGAAAATAAGACCATGAAGATAACTGCTTCTTGAGTAATCCACAGCAGGAAAAAAAAAACAAATAATGAGATTTTTTGCCAAATGTTCTCAAGCCACTGAAGTAGTATCTTTTGTACTTTGACAAGTCCAATGGCAGCTGAAGACCCCACTGAAGCACTGCCATCCAGGCGCTGATGTTTACTGCAGATTGCTTAACCCAGGAGATCTTGAACTTCAGTTGTGTTGCCCACTGCTGCACCCTGGAACGCAGTACAGCACATTTAGCATATGCTCATAAATAAATTCAAGAAAGAATATATTTCAGCCTAGAGAAGAACAGCAGTGCACCAAGGTCCTACAGAAAACCCTAAGACTGGCCACTCAGATGCACAGCGGCAGCTTCTGCAGGCTATGCTGACATCTGCATTTCAGAAATACAACCAGGGAGACGAGTCCACGTGACGCAACGTCCACGGTGTGATGGAAACCAGGGCAAGCCATCTTTATTTTCATTTTTGGCTCACTCGGTGGTAGCTGTGTGACTGTGGGCAAGAGGATGAATCTCTGGAACCTTCGTGTTCATGCCTGGAATTCAAATGACTGTCTTTGCCCTGCTGGAGGCTGTGACGGTAGATGAGCAGAAGGTGAGACACAAAGCAGTCAGCACCGGACTTTCCCACTTGCTCTTCCTGAAACATTTCTGGGACTTTTCCTTCCAGTACACGAATCACTGAGACATTTTCATCACGACTCAAAATAGCAAAGTTGTGCCTCCTTGCCTGACCTTGGACAAGGTCATCTCTTGGATGACCTTGGACAAGTTGCATAGTCTCTTGAGGTCATTTCCCATCTTTAACATGAGAAAATGGCAGAACCTGGGGAAGAGGGTTCTTTCCAGGATTTAAGTGAGTTAATTTATGGAAATGCTTGAAGAGTGCCTTACATCCAATCAATACCACATAAATTGTAGTCAGTAAGATCACAGGTCCTGGTAAGAAAAATGCAGAAATCATTACAGGTACTTTGCCAAAGTTCCAATTTGACCAAAAACAAGAACTGGGAAGTTCCACCTTTATGTAAATACTTTTTTATTTCTTAGGTCTTGGAAGAAGCACAAAACTTATCTAACCAAAAGTATCTCTGCGATCATTCATCATGGCAGACCCTTCTTGGACCAGTCCAACAGCTGTTTAGTCACACAACCAACTGACAATTCAATTTCTAATCAACAACAAACACCCTTCGTTTGATGTACTTTACAGTGTTGTTTACTTGCTGTGTGAGTTGGGAAGCCGGCTGACCTCTCTGAACCTCTACAAACAGATGTAACGTGAGGTGAGTATGTGACATCCTGGATCAACAGTGACGTACAAGTATCATGTCCTATCAATTTCTGGTTGCATCAACATAGATTTTATCACGGGAACCCCAAGTGGACTTCAATCCTGAAGCAGGCAGGAATGTCAGCTGTGTAACGGCCTGGGCGCAGTGAAACTGAAGTGTCGGAGAACTCCACACCAGGAGCACACTTGCCAGTGCTTACTTCCAGTCTCATTCTCCCTCCTTTCCCTTCAGGAATCACTGCTGCTGTGTCAGTCAGGGTGCAGCCAGTCAGACAGAAACCACTCCACATATGTACAACTACAGAAGAGATGTAATTCAAGAGAGTGGTAAGTTGGTGAGAAACCAACGGGAGAGTGTAGACAGGAATGGGTGACAGCAGGAAGTCACTACCCTCATGACGAGGCTGGGCACACCATCCCATATCAGGCCAGGGACCGAGTGAGGTCACTTGGGTCAAACACTGTGTGGGAGCTGGCGTCACACTAGCAGCCACGCCCGAGACCTCAGCTGTCCTCTTCTTCCTACCCTCTTACCAGCAGCCATCAACTGACGGTGGTCATAAGCCCCCTGGCCTTGGATACAGCAGTGACAGGGCAGAACAGGTCCAGGACAGCCTACTGGTAGCATGCGACCCAGGACACACAGCTGACTCCCACTGAAGGCACACTCTGGACTCAACGGACTCAATTCAGAAGGAAGTGCACAGGCTTCATGTAACATGGGAAAATGCTGTTGGGTTTGTGTGCCTCACTTCTCAGCTCACATCTGGAATCCAACTATTAGCATAAGCGTAACTTTAAGGGACTACAAACACATTGTTTATTTTCTTCCTCCTAAATGATGTTAACAAAATATTGTAAGATTTTTTTTTTATATGAGGAGCTCGCTTCAAAAGAAAAGTATATGAAACTAATTTTCTAGTGCTTCATACTTCTGTCACAACAGTCTCCAGCAACGTATTTTCAGGGGGTTTACTTTGCTCATTTAAAAGTGCAGTTACACCCAGATTTGTGCCAAGTCCAGCCTTCCCAAAAGGTGATTCCCCCTGATTTGCACATTCTCGTCATCTACTGTTACTTGGCAGCCATCCACCCTTCTTGTAATTCAGTAGTCATTGTCTTTATCCTTGGGCATACAAATGAGAAGAAGGCACTTGCTTCCTCAAAGAATGCATGATCTATCTGGGGATGAAAGAACATAGAAATACTGACGTTAAAATATAGCAAGATAAAAGGAAGAAAATTCTGTCATTTACCACAATGTGGATGAAGCTTGGAGCTATTAGGTAGAATAAAATAAGCCAGGCTCACAAAGACAAATACTCCCTGACCTCACTTCTAAGTGTGATCTGAAAGAGGTGAATTCTCGGGTGCAGAGAGGAGAATGATAGGCAGGAGGGGCTGGGGGAGTTCTGGGGGACTGGGCAGAGTGTGTCAAGGATGCAAAGTGTCAATAACTTCTGGAGCTCTCTTGTAGAACACGGTTACTATGGCTAATAGCAATGTATTGGATACTTGAAGAAGAGAGATCTTAAGTGTTCTCACCACGAAACAGAAATATGAAAGTAATACATGTTAATCAGCTTTGTTTAGCCATTCCACAATGTGCACACATATCAAAACATCATGCTGTATACAATAAATACATACAATTTTTGCTAGTTTAAGTAAATCACAGCAAGAGAGAAATTTTGTTACAGGGAAAGGCTTCACTGGACCATGAGAAATTGGTTTTTGCCTTTATTTTGATTTTTGGAGCTGAGAGCACGTCTGGGTCCAGTGATCCAGGGGCCCTCCTGCTACTCCAGGATGGCACAGATAGAGACCTGCAGACCCGGAGGAAGGGAGCCCAAGGCACCCAGCGCTTCCTTGGCCACTGGCTGGAGGGCTCCAAACGTTTCTTACTTAGAAGTGCTTGGAGACTGAGTGCAGATCTCTCTGAATCTGCATCAGCTTTTATAACAGAAAATGTTGGCAGTGAGTGTAGAATATCAGCTAAGTTTATGTCCTTAGAATCTTGGAGGTCCAACATCTGAGACAGGTCTACCGGGACTAGCAGCAGTGCTGGGGTCCCTCCCGGAAGCTCTGGGAGAGAATCCTCTTCCAGTGTTTCCCCTCAATGTGGTTCACAGCCTCGCCCTCATCATCATCTGAGTTTTCCCGTCGCATCCCTCAGACTCCTCTGCCTCCCACTTCCACATTTCAGAAGCCTGTGATGACAGTGGGTGTACCTGGGTAATCCAGGACACTCTCCCTATTTTGACGTCCTGGGATTTGTAGTCTAATCCATCTATCACCTGCTTTCCTTTTTCCCTGTACCCTGATTATCCATGGGTTCCAGGAATTAGGACACAAACATTTGGGTGGGGGGGAATCATTATTTCCCTTACCACAATCACGATACAAGAGTTTAGTCTGACAGGTTCAGCATGGACTAAAACCACTGCCACAAATCCTTCCACTGCTTGCTAAAACTCCAAACTAAAGGCTTCTTTGCAGCATGTGAGCACACACACACACACACACACAGAGCACCTGCCTGCTGCTTCCCCTTGCTGGTGTCAGACGCAGTAAACAAAGCAACAACACCCTCTTAGCATCTACCTTAACAAGTGCTGGGCTTCTTCTCAAGATCAAAGCAGACAGAATCACAGAGTCTGTTAAGATTCTAGTGCCTTGAAGCACCCCAACAGCACCACTCACTGCTCGCTTGCTTTCCACTGCTTAACAGTTAAAGCCAGACTTAGACTCTACCTCCCTTCATCCGCCTGTGTCTCTCAACTTCATTCAGGTGCAGCCTGGAAGTAACGCTTGAGAAGGAGACCTGAGTGGTCGTCTTAACGGCCCGCAGCACTGAGCCTGGTACAGTGTTTTCATGTACAAGGTGCACGTGGAGTGAAGGGAGAGTCTGTGCCCTGAATGCTGTATTATAAATACAAATTAAAAGGAAACATTCATGTCGCACAGACTCAGTGGAGTGCCTGACTCAGTATGGCCAGACATTGCTGCAGAAAGCTGTTCTGGCAGAAAATTGGTAAAGTGGCTTGGGCTTCTAAAAAGTGTGAGTGTAGATTGAATCCTATTTCCTCTCTTGAAAACACTGCCAGATGCATTGATCTTTGCAAAGAGGACAGAATTGAAATTTTTATAGAACACTCTGCAGTTGGAGTCAGTCCAACACTCCTTCTTGTTCGGATTGGGATCACTTGTTTTGGGTGAGAAGATCATGAGGTGGAGGCTGTGTTTTCCTTGGTGCACCAATTCACAAGGTCACTTTGTCTTGCTGGTGACACTCTCTTTGATAACTTTGTTAAACAGCTGTCCACTGCACTTCTGTTCTATAGAGGGATTTTTCCCTTTGTAGAAGTAAGAGTGATCTATGTGAAGGTACTTTAAAGCTGAGTATATAAGGGAATTAAAATAGACTTATTTCGGTGCAGAATATTTTTGGAAGTCAGGCGTGGTTTTTTCACAATATCCATTTTCCCATGATTTTTGAAGAGCCCACAAATGCATGGATTTCAATTTATCTTTTAATTCCATTCTCCATGAATGTTTCTATGTTCCCTCATATGTTACTTCCTGCTTGTCAAATGTCCCTCCATAACTTCACCTTCCTTTGACAAATCACGTGTGGAGCAATCAGTGCCATGAAGGCTGTCAAGGGGGTCATGTTCTATTCTTCTGCATTTATAGATTGGCTTTCTGCTATAAGAAGGAAGTTTTTTATTGAACTATTGATTTTTGGTGGCTATGAACTTGTGGTTGAAACAGTTTTTGATACAGTCCCCTTTGAGATACTGACATTAATGGACCATCTCCCTAGTGGGGAAAACACACACACAGACACCAGCTAAAGTGCATGCACTTTCTGGGTTTTGATGAGACTTCGAAGTCCATTCACGGCCCAAACCCTAAGGCAGCTGTGAACTCTGCACAATGACCGTATTAGTCAGCTCTGTTGTTGTTACTGCAGTTTAAACACATGAAAGGAACTTCTTGGGAAGGAAAGGTTTTACTGTGGCTTAGAATTTGGAGGTTCGCGGTTCAACATCAGTAGCCCCATCAGTCTGGTCTCTGGTAGAGGTTGGCTCTGGTAGAGCAGGTGTGCAGGAATGATTGATGGTGAGCCAGTGAGCAGAGAGAAAAGTTAAGACTGAAGTTGGCTTACATAATCAACCTTTCAGAGGGCAAGCCCCAAAATGACATAAAGTCCTCCCACTGGCCCCGTCTCCCAGCTTCAATAATTAGATCAAGTGTCTGCCTGAATCCATCAACCATTATTGTTAATCCAATAAATGTTAAGATTTTGCAGTCTCAACATCTACATGAGTTTGTGGAGCCAAGTTCTGTTCATTCTATAACTATGACACTTCTGGCTCCAAAATACAATGATATTTCTGCGCCTGTTGAAACAATTCAAAAGGAAGCAGCTAGCTGATTTGGTAAAAAGATACAGCAGGTCGATCTGTATCTCTTCAACTAGAAAAGAGTCTCTCAGAAGCAGGTTGTTCGGTCCCTTTTGTGACTGTCACTGGACAGACATTTTCATCTATATCCTTCAAAAGCTGTGCCATTCCCCTTTTACTCCTCCTTGAAACTCTGAGTCCTTCCACCTTCGGTTCCCTGCTACTGGGGGAATGGCATGGCAGAAACCATGGATTCCACCAGGCTGACAGTGCTGATCACTGTCACTGAGTCACATTTCTCCCCTAGGCTATTTGCCAGAGAGGAGGCAGGAAGAGATCTCCCAGGAATGTCACCTTCCTGTGAAAGGAGGGGAAATGCAATCAATGCTAAACCTCAGCAGTTTGTGCTGCAGGCTCTGAAACAAACGGACCTTAGTTGCAGCTGCAGCTCTTCTGCATTAAGTATTGTTTAACAGGTCCACGTACAACAGGGACCACAGTCGCATCATTTCACTGGGGGGAGCACGTGGCAAGCTCTCAGTGGGTGATCCAAGGGGCCTGAGTCACCCAGGCCTGGGGCCTGCCTGCTGTACACAGTGTCTGACAGCTCAGCCAAGGGTCCTACTCATTCAGAGATGCTGGCCTGGTCCTGTCCTCTTGCCCCATGTCCCCTTTCACTGCTGGGGTACCTTTGGGCTCACATCAAGTTAAGCCACGTCCTGGACCTCACCCTGGTACGGACTTCATTCACTTCTTTCCTTTCACCCTGTCAGACATTTGTTCAGACACTAGTTGCCAGCAAGTATATGAAGGCCCAGCCTTGGCAGTAAGTAGCTTAATGACTAAGGAAAATCAAGCAAGTTCAATGCTTCCTGAAGCTTTATCATTGTCAAGAAAATTGCCTTACAATTTGCTTTTTTTTTTTTTTTTTTTTTTGACAGGCAGAGTGGACAGTGAGAGAGAGAGACAGAGAGAAAGCTCTTCCTTTTGCCGTTGGTTCACCCTCCAATGGCCACCGCGGCCGGCGCGCTGCGACCGGCGCACCGCGCTGATCCAATGGCAGGAGCCAGGTGCTTCTCCTGGTCTCCCATGGGGTGCAGGGCCCAAGTACTTGGGCCATCCTCCACTGCACTCCCTGGCCACAGCAGAGAGCTGACCTGGAAGAGGGGCAACCGGGACAGAATCCGGCGCCCTGACCAGGACTAGAACCCGGTGTGCCGGCGCTGCAAGGCAGAGGATTAGCCTATTGAGCTGCGGTGCTGGCCTCAGAATCAGCCCTTAAGGCATTTGGATATGGCTGAAGAGCTCATGAGAGTATTTTAGGCATGGAAAGCCAAGACACTCTGGGGGAAAAAAAAAAGACCTAAATGAAAGATTTCTGTGAGTGAGATCCCAGTGGAAAGAACGGGGCCATCAAAGAAGGAGGTACCTTTCTCTGAAGGGAGGGGAGAACTTCCACTTTGACTATGACCTTGTCGGAATAAGATCCAAGTCGGCGAACTCAAAAGGCTTCCATAGCCTTGGCAACTCATGACTAGAGCCTAGGGAGATTACTGATGCCATAAACAAGAGTGTCAAATTGTTAAGTCAACAACAGGAGTCACTGTGTACTTACTTCTCATGTGGGATCTGTCCTTAGTGTGTTGTCCAATGTGAAGTAATGCTATAACTAGTACTGAAACAGTATTTTACACTTTGTGTTTCTGTGTGGGTGCAAACTGATGAAATCTTTACTTAATATATACTGAATCAATCTTCTGTATATAAAGATAA